AACACTCTTGGCCTGGAATTCCTCTGGCGGAGGGGATTGTTGGTTTGGTGGCCTGGGATCCTTCAGGGCCTTCCTGAGTCCTGGTGGGGAACGCTTTTACTAATAACTAGATCTCCCCTCTCCATCCCCACGAAGATCCTGAGAGAGTCACATATCCTGCTCTGATAACTCGGAGAGAACTACTCTTTCATTTCTAAAGAAAATGAAATCTTATTATTTGGAGATGGTAGCGGTAGGGTATTAGTCAAGCAGCGATTGAGAGTCCCCTCGATTTTCCACGAAAAAGTGGAAGATGAGATAGGGGGAAGAAAGGAGAGGTTGAGATCTAAAGGGCGAGACTCCCAGGCCCAGAGGAGTTCACCGCACAGTGAACCCGCTCAACCGGCCACGCAGCCCGCGCTCCCCGCCCCGCGCCCTATTGTCCTCCCAAGCCCGGGGTCGTGACCCAGCTGAAGGCGACATCGCGTCCAGGGCTGACGCGGCGTGGAACCCGGAGGAGGAGCCGGTCTACCGCCGGCCCCTGGAACCTCGCCTTTGCCCGGCCTGGCCCTTTTGCGATTATCAAGACCCCGGCCTCTGAGAGAAGGGGAACCACCGGGACACCCCCACCCCGTGAAGATAGTCACATTTTGTCCCATTCTCTTGCAGCCAGGATTCCCGAGAAGCCAGAGCCCCGAGTGGAACCTAGGGTTTGGCTTTCTAGCAGTGCCTCCTGCACACTCGGTTCCAGGCTTTTTTCTCTCTAGAAATTAAAATATTGTATGCCTTCCTCTTCCAATCTTTGGTGCTGGGAAGAGAGGGAGTCAGAAAGGAGTGAGTAGACGCGACACTTTTTTGGTTTCACTCATACCACATCAAGGCTGGCGGAGCTGACCCTAGAGGATGCTGCCTATTCAGGAATCTGAAAATTTGTGGATGCAGACTAAAAATTTAAAATAGTCCCTTCATCTTTATTAGACTCTGCAACCTTATTCACCCTCAAACATACTCTGAGATATTCCCTACCCATCCTTGTCTTCCCTTCCTCCTGATTTATCCATCCACTAGGTCTGGCAGACACAGGAAGGCAAGAAGATGGGGCTGCAGAGGCCCTTATCCCCTGCCTGCCTGGATGTGGGTTCTGCTGGACTGGCCCTGGGTTCAAAGAGCTACAGAACTGACACCAGAGAGAAGAGAAGAAAAGCACCATGGAGTGGAGGGAGAGCCAGGGGCTCCTGGTCTTGGAGAGCTGACAAGCAAACCTTGGGATCGGCTTTAGTTTCTGTCTGCTCCCCAAGTTCAAAAGGGGTCTGAGCTCCTTGAGCTGCGAAGGTTTTAAAATGTCCAAGGGTTCCTCTCAGGCCTCTGGCTCAGAGTTCACCCCCCTCCCCATTTTTAATTCTCGAGAGGCAGCTAAAACTCCAATACCCAGAGCAGCCACATGCTGCAGGAGAAATATCAAAATGCAGAAAAAGCAGGCTAAGAGGGGTTGTCAGCTCTATCAAAAAGATTGGTAAGAGGCAAAGACTTTTTTTTTTCACCAAATCCCCCAAATGTTTATTTTGGGCTCCTGCCCATCCAGATAAATCAAGCTAACAGATTAGGAAGTTCATAAAATTGTATTCTTAGGTAATGACATCCAGAGAGGTAATAAATATTCCCTGTGCTCTGGTGGCCACTGGAGTTCTGGTGTTCGGGATCTTCCATCTCTTGTTCCAAGCCTGAGAGGGGTTTCTTGGAAGGGGAACATTTAAATTAAAATTAGCTCTCCATAGGTGCGGTGCCAGATAGGAGCTGTGGAAAACCTGGAGCGGTGCTCTTGTGAGTGCACCGGCAGGCTCCCCCAGGATGGGCAAAAACAGAGAAAAAGATGGTACAGTTGCCCAGTGCACTGCTCCTCTCCGCCATAGCACCCTTGATCTTAAGGGCCCCTTTCAGAATTAGTCTCCCTAATCCTAGAAAAACACAGAAGGGCACCCTGGCTTCAAGCTCCCAGCAAACCTTTTAATTGTTTTCATTTCCCTACCACTCCCCCCAACACACACACACACACACACACACACACACACACACACACACACTCCTAGCTGTGGAAAGCTGTCCCTGGATTTCAATCTGCCAAGTCCACGCAGAAAGAAAACTGAAGCCCAGATTGCAGAGAAAACTTTGTAGGAAACTTCACACAAACAGCAGCAAGAGACCCTCGGAAAAGCAAAGTGTCCTAGTCCTTTTCCCTCAGTCCCACTTTCTCAGACGCTCTCTCTGTTTTTTGAGCCAAATTTCTTTACTCCCCAGGTACACAGATTCGGCACAGAAAGTCTTTTTCCCCAAGCAGAACCCCTCCGCTCACAACTGGATTTCCCGCCTTCCCTCCCTCAGACCGGGAGTTGAGACAAAAATTGAGTGGCAAATAGAGATCGAGTTTAATAATTTTGTGCTCCTCACCCCCAGAGCAGATGGAGTGCTAACTACTTACATGTCAAAGGGATTTTTGGCCTGTGGGGATCTCCTGGCGGTTAGAGAGAAGGAACCCTGGAAGATTGGTGTCGCCGTTTCACCGTCTTCTTTTTACTTAGCCATTGAGAGAGGGATACAATGCACTAACAAGCATTCATGCGCCTTGCCTCTCTCATTACTCTGGGCAAGAAATCTCCAGTCCTACAAAAGCAGTGGCATCCTATCTGGAGACCAGGGCCGAGCAAGGGCTGGCTTGGGAGGGTCAGAGATGGGGGTGGGGGAGAGGTCAGAGGCGCAGCCGAATATAAAGGCAATGGGAGAGAAAATGCTGTGTCCTTCCCGTGAACCTGGGCTGTGTCCTCCCCCCAGCCTTTCCCCACTGCTCAACCCAACTTCAATAAAAGCCCGGCCCTCAGCTTCCCAATGAGGCTGTTTGCAGCATCAGGCAGAGCAGTAGGGACCAAGACTGCTGGAGCTTAGGGCCCCTCTGCCCAGAGTGGCCCCCCACACCCCAACTCTGCCCTGCCATTCTGGGTGGCCAGGTCCAAGGCAAAGAAGAGCTTTGAGGACAAGGGAGAAAATGGAGCCCACTGGAGGGAAGGCCAGAGGCCAAAATCTTCAAACTCCAATGTAAGGGATTTTAGTTTTGGTTCATTTGTCAAGAATTATGGATTTCTGATGTTTCCCCTGTTCAGACCAGAAAGGAAGAAGGAGACACACAGAGAACGACTATGTATGTGAGGGAAGAGGAAGGAGAAGAAACTGGAGGTGTAAACAAGGGGAAATAAAATAACTGTTCTGACCCTTTCCTGCTGCTTTTCCTGAACTAAAGAGTGTCCCCTCAGCAATTTCAGAGAGAAACTTAGGAAATAAAATGTAGTAATTTTCCCCTTCCTCACTCTCATCCTTCCACTTCTGGGAGGAGAGGGATAAACTCCCTGAAAGCCACGTGAGCAAACTTAGGAAAGAACCAGGGATCTCAATCGACCCCTCCCCTGCTTCCCATCTTAGCTGCTTTACAGGCTTGAAAAGACACCCTGGTGCCCTTAGACCTTCCTTCCCTTTTCCCAAGCACAGCTAGAACCCCCTTTTTCTGTTCCAAGGGCAATTGCCTCAAGACGATAGGGGTTGCAGTCAGATGTGGCCCCTAATTCACTTGATTACATAAAATAACTCGTGATAATTGCTGGCCTGCTTCCTAACACTGTAGCAGCATGTTTTGTTGTCTCCAGGGTACCATTAAGGGAGGAATAGTAGACCAAAAGGACTAAGAGATTCCCCCAATACACACACACATGTGAGGACACACACACACACGCACACACATACACACACACACTCCAAGTAACATCCAGCAAGTGTTTCAAAAGGAAATAAATTCAAAGCATACCAAAGTGATTTTCACAACTTAATCCTGCTGTTGCCTTTCATTCCGGAGTTCGGGGGATCGAGGGAAGGGGTATCCCTGGCTTCCCTGCATACCCTAGATCTCTTTCTCCCTCTCTTCTACTTCTAATTGCCTTTCTTCCTGAAATATGGATAAATCACCAGAGAAGAACCTCACCAACAGCCCTCCTCCCACCTCCTAACAAATAAGTGAAAAATTAAGCAGGCCTTGCTAGGTCCTCCTTCTCAGGACCAGAATTATTTGGGAGGCTTTGGCTTGAATGTATTATTCAGGTAATCCAGGCAAGATTTTTTCTTTCTTTTTTAGCCCAAGGAAACAATTTTGTTTAATTAATGTATTTCTTTACAGCCAGAGAGGCTTGTTCAGGCTGACCCCACGCCCTGCCAGGACCTGCGGGGTTATAGGAAGAGAGCGTGGTCCTTGACTCTCCCTGAGTCTCTTCTCAACACCTGGCAGGTCCACAATAAAAGCTAGAGAATAAAAAGGTAGAAGTCTTTTATTATCTCCAGGCATCAGCCTTTGAGGCCTATCCATAACAAGGGCACCTCCCAGGCCTCTGGCCTCCACCTTACCCTTTTTTCCAAGCCTAAACAAACAGAGAAGGCATCCTGACAGGTCACTTTGCTGCTTCAGAATCACCAGCTCAAAATCTTTCTTCTTTTAAGAACTCAAATGTTGAGGGGATGTCTTCCTTAATCCCTCATCCCAAAAGGGCCCTAAAAGATGAGAGAAAACTCTTCTCCTTCCCACTCCCTAAACTTGCCCTCTTGTCTACAAATTAGGCAGGCCTACCCAGCACAGAGGAGGGAGAAGGAAAGAGAGAGAACAGACAAAAAGAAGAAACTGCACCTAACTATAGAAAAGTGAGACACCCCCAACCCTCAGCTCCACTGAAGTACCCCCAGAGGAGTCTGGACTCTCTGCAGACTCAGGGGGAAGAAAGGGATTGGAGAAGTCAGCCTCAATCTTCTACATGCCCTCACTGAAGATCCCATACCCCAACCCCCTTGCTGGTTCTTCTAAGAACATGGGAAGACTAATGGAGAGCTAAGATTTGTGTGTTTGTTTAAAGCAAACTTAGGCAACTATAGAGAAGATGGGATGTTGCCAGGCCAGAGAGAGGAGGGGGATAAAAAGAAACCATGAGACATTGACGTAAAACTAATTCACATCCACTGGTTTATTATTGATCACGGGGCGTTTCACATCAACACTAAAATTCTTTATTGCAAGTTTTACAATAATCAAGTAAATTCAGTCCAAAAACACAATAACCATGATGGGGGTGGGGAGAGATTCTACCTATAGACTGCCTCTTGAACTGAAAGTTCATTTTGATTTTCTTTTGGCTCCTCAAACTGAACAGCTCTGAGAGGCTCTCCAGATGCATTTAGCTTTGTCTGCTGTCTTTGCCCCCTCTCCCCCCCAATAATACAAAAGAACTTCATAGCTTTGTTCTCCTTAAAATGACTTCCCCCTCACTAACCTCCCCTGGTGCATTTTCAATGCAAAAGGCCTAAGGAAAGAGAGGGGAAGGAGGAGGAGGAGAAGGAGGAGAATTGGCTTTAAAATCTTTCCTTTTTTCTTTTCCTCATTTCCCCTGAAATTCACCCAAACCAGACCATCACACCTTGCAATATATAATTTTTGCAGCTTTTTTTTTTCTTAAAAAATAAATAACCCCCCCCAAATGGCCTTAAAAAAAAACACCCAGCAGGTACCATGCTAAGACAACATCACATGCTTAAAAGGGTCCTTAACAGTGGAAGGGAGAGGAGGGCAGGGGGCTTGTTTGTTTATCTGTTTTGTCTGTTTGGAACTGACAAGGGACAAGGTGAGAGGAAGAGAGAAAAGAACCAATATATATATATATATATATATATATATATATTAAATTCTATAAATAAGAGTCAATTTGTGTGTGAGGGGAGGGTGGGAGCACGGGGTGGGGGCAGGGGTGTGAGTTATGTTTTATAACCTGGTAATGTCCTCTGCCCGTTGCTGCTCCGGCGGCGTGGCGCTCTGGGAGTGGTCTTCAGAAGTGCCCGGGGTAGCTGCCGAGAGGGTGCTGGGCGCAGCGCCGGCCGGGGGCGCTGACCTGACTTTGGTGTTGGGGAGTCGGTGGTCCTTCTTCCATTTCATGCGACGGTTTTGGAACCAGATTTTGATCTGCCTCTCAGAGAGGCACAGCGAGTGGGCGATCTCGATCCTTCTCCTTCGGGTCAGGTAGCGGTTGTAATGAAACTCTTTCTCTAATTCCAGGACTTGCTGCCGAGTGTAGGCTGTCCTCGAGCGCTTGGGTTCCCCTCCGTTATAATTGGGGTTCACTGGGAGGAAGGGGGAGGGGAAAAGCAAATAGTGGGGTTCAGAGGCAGCAGGCTCCCCGCCCCCCACCCTCACCCCATCCTCAGCTCTGAGAAACAGGAGTAGGGAATGGTGGAAATAAAGTCATCAAGCTTAAATGGGTTATAAAGAAGTTGAAGGAAGCTGAAGACTTTGTAGTGTAATAAGAGGGGAATCCTCATTGTAACGACACTGAATTATTTATGCGCCCTTAGAAAGCGAGCATAGTTTTCACACATACATAACAGATCGTAGCACATGGCTCGGACTGCCCAGAGTAGCTAAGCCATAAAATTTATGGGGGATGTAATTACCCATTCTCGCTCGTAAATCCAGTTCAATTGTGCTAACCCAGAGTCGCTCCTGGAGAGAGAGGGGGAAGGAGAGAAAGGAGGACGGGGCCAGAGGGGGCCGAGGAGGGTGGGGAGCGCTGGGGAAGAAGGGAGGGAGGGGGGAGCAAAAAGCAAAGTTGCCTACCCGTGCTAACGTGAATTTTTTTCATCCATGGGTAGACTATGGGTTGCTTGCTGGCGGCGCTGGAGGGATGGTCGGGGGCTGGCTGGCTGCAGGCTGGCGGGGCTGGGGACGGGGAGGCGGAGGCGCCTGAGAGAGGCGCCGGCTCGCAAAGCGACTGTGATTTCTCGGGGTGGTGGTGGCCCGCCTGGGCCGGCCCGTGGCCTCGCGAATTGCCCGGCCCCTGGAGACTGGTGCAGCTATACTGGCGCTCAGGGTAGCTAGGGCGCGGAGGCGGTGGTGGGTACAGCTCCTGGTGGTGATGCTGGAATCCCGATTCCCTGGTCCGGCCGTAATATTCCGGACTGTGTTCAGGGATGTAGCTATTTTGCGAATATTCTTCGCATGGAGGAAATTTCGGATCGATGTAGTTAGAGTCCATCAAATACGAGCTCATGATCATTAATTTCTGGAGTGGAAAATAATTTTTCTCGCTTTGTCGTTTTTCTGCTCCATAAAGCCCTCCTACTAGCTAGCGACCCTGTAAAGTTACTTTCACCATGTGACTCCGCCGGCCAATCACACGGAGCAACCCAGTCCCCGGATAAGGAACCGAATCGCTTTATTCAAAATGTATCCAATTTTTTTTGTGTGTGTGTGTAGTGGTGGTGGTGCTGGGGGGTGGGTGGTGATGTGGGGTTAGCTGGCAGGGGCTGGGGTGCTCCCAGTGCACATCCCGTCAGACTGACAACCTTCCCCTGCTAAAGGAGATAGAAAGCTCCCGGCTCCCCTCCAAAGCCGGGGCATTGGGGGGCTGTCGGAAGGCAGCGATTCAGCCCTCGCCCTGGGTCTCCCCTCAGGCCTCTGCTGGGCCCCGTGGGCCTCGGCTCCTGAGCTTTTCCAGAGGTCTCCATTCATGGCGATCGCGTCTCAGTCTGCGTAGGTCACCGGGCAGCGCCCCTCTTTCGCAGGAAGAGGAAGTTGAATGAGGACTGGAGTGGAGGTTGGATGGGGAGGGGCCCAGGCTAAGCCGAGGAGGCTGGAGAGCCTAGAGTGCCCCCCATCCAAGGATACCAGAGTCCAGCCCCCCTTCCCCATACACACTCACCCAACCCTCTGGCCATGGGGTCGGCGAGGCAGGGTCCCAGCTGGACCAGGCAGGTAGAGGCAGCGGGATGCAAATGATTCTGACGTCATTTCTGGAGGTCTGGGGGTTGAGCCCCCGCTGAAGAGAGACAGGAAGTGGTTGGCAAAAGCAGAGTTCAGAAGTCTCACCCTCCCCTGCTACCCACTGACCCTCCCTGCCCCAGCCCCAGAGCAGAGGGTCTCTTCTACTGATGGTTCCTGTTTACACTCCCTTCAGCCGGGCCTGCTGTTTTCTGACAATTATCTCTAAGGCTGGCTCCCAAGGAGCTGGGGCAAGGAAGAGAGCTTTCTGCCAGAAATCAGTGCCCTGTGATGGTGCCCAGCCAGGGCTCTGAGAATTTTTTCTCCATCCCTACAGAGGGCAGACCTGGCTAAGAGGGAGGCCTGTGTGGGTAGAGTCTGCTTACTTCTGGCTAGGAGCTGTATCCATGTAACACGTGTGTTGACATGTAAACACGAATTCCTAAGGGCAAGCTCCAGGCTGCTTTCCAAAAACGGAAGGCTAAGCTCACCAAGTTGGGGAGGCAGGGCCAGCCTTGGGGGTCTCCAGCCGGTTCACACCCCCTTCCCTCTCTGCCACCCACTCACAGTAATACTCTGATGGAGAGGGGTGGCAGGGCCATAGAGGAGGGAGGGGGCCAGGAAGAGCTGCTTTCCTACCTCCCCACCAGCTAGGGGTGGCCCTGTCATGCCACCGATTCCAATTAACTGATCGCCCATAACTCAGAGTTGGGGGGGGTAGCGGAGGGGAGAGCCCAGGGAGGGAGCCGGGTCCCCTTGTTGTACTTGATAACAATTATAGTTTAAAATCATAGCTTGCCGGAGCTCGGCTATATTTTACTTGATAACAATAAAAGTGACACATAAAGTTAACTGTTTATGTTTTATTTATTAGACTAAATCTGCCAGCGGTGGTAGGAGCGCTTGCCTCGTCGCTACAGCTTTTATAGGGCTGTAAAACGTCATAAATCAGTCTCGCGGAATCGCCCGCACTCTTTGTGTCGGCGGCGGCGCGGGGCTGGCGGCCGCTGGCTGCCTGCTCCCTCCTTTCCACGAAAAGTCGTAATGTGATTTTTTTCCCTCTGATTTTATTATTATGATCGTCGCCGTGATTAGTCAATCTACCTTTAATTCGCCGCCCTACGCTGCCTCCTCCCAGCCCAGCCTGGTTGACACTTGAATAAGTACCTTTTAAAACGGCATAACAACTATTTGAGGGTTTAATTAGAACATCTGCAATTAAGGGAATGAGGAGGGGAAAGGGAAAAATAATAATAAAGCCCTTGTGAGAGGGAGACCGAAGGCAAGAGATTCCCATCCTTTTCTCATCACCTTTGGGATGTTGGAGAGGGTCCCCACTTCCAAATTAGGGCTTCCCCAGAGGTCTGGAATGAGAAGGAAGCTGGACCACAGGCCATGCCCAAAGGATGCGGATTCCCGCCTGGGCCCTGGCTGCCTTCCCTCTTTCAATGCTTACACCCCCCACTCCCATCCCAGGCTCTGCAGGGCCCGGGCTTAGCTCGGGAGGAGCTGCTGCGTAGGGGGTCCCTGAATACTCTCCAAGAGGACAGTGCCTACCCCCACTGTCACCGGAGCAGGTGAAGAAACAGGAGTTCCCCAGAGGCTGACCACCTCTTATGGAGATTGCCAAATTCTCAGAGTTGGATGAGAACCTCGCCCACTCTTGTCCGGAACCCTCTGCATGTGAGGACCGGCTGGTTTAGTCGGAAGAGGAACTTGAGAGTATGAGTGAGGGGGTGGAGGGAGGCTGCCGCTTGGTGAATAGTGGACTGGGTTGTGTGAGGGCTTTCTTATTTTAATCATTGGTGGTGGGGGTGGGTTCATTATAAATTGCTGGAAGAGGGCAAAGGGAAACCAGTGCTGCATCCCCAGTAAGTAAGTCTGAACTGTAGTCCCAGATGGCTCCACGGGGAGGTCTAAAACTCAGCGAACTTTGGGAGGGTTTGGAGAAGGTTGATGAAGAGGGAGGAAACCTTCCAGGCCCCACTCCCAGTCCCCTTCTAGGCCTGTACCTGGATACAGCTGCCTCACCTGGAAAGGCCGGCTGTCAGCCTGGCTCTCCCTCTCTCAGCCCTCACACTCACCTTCTACCACCCCTGCCGGACCCTAAACCTCTTTTCTTCAATCTTCGCCCTCCTGGACTTGTTAAAGAGTCCTCTCCAATATGTTGCCTGTCACACCCCACCCCTGCCAGGTTTCTGAGCTTCTGCAGGTGGGTCAAGGAGACTGACTTTGGGCCAGTATAAGTAGTAGACACGGGGTTCAGATGCCTCCAACTGAATGTCAAATCTGTATTTGATTATTATGGTTAACATATATGCATGCACACTATTAATATTAATATATTAAATGTCTCTTTATGCAGCTATAAATATGTAGAGTTCTCATTCCAGGTTTGTGCAGCTAATTCAATCAACATGCACATCCAGAAAGTGAAATCTCCAAGATTCCCCCAAACGTGTCCACACTCATCTACATCATTTACAAAACAACAACAACCACTCCCTTTGGGCTCCTATAGCTTAATAGCAAGGAAGTCGCCTATCACATGGGTAAAATACCACACACACACATAAAAACATTTTCACCTGCATATTACTACAAGCCCAGAAACAAGATCCTTTCGAAGGGCTTTTGCACTTAGCAATGGCTTGATTGGGAGGGGGTGGGGGTACTAAAGCAGCTCTCATCTGTGATGAATCCTTGTATCTGGTCCTGTCTTCTTTTGTGCTTCACCCTCCTGCCTCCGGCCTTGCTAGCCCAGGGACTCGCACCTCTGCCCTGCCCTCCACCTTGCTTTGCCCCAGTTTTATTTATTTTTATTTTTTTCTGACTACCTTTTGCCAGCATCCAAATGCTCTCTGCACATTGTCCCTCCAGCCCATCTCCTTTCTAAATCTCAATTTGGTTTTTCTTTCGGAAACATGTTTCAGTACAAAGCGCTTCCCTTCTGACATCGCTGAAGAAAAATATGTGTCCATTGTGTGTGAGGCCTTATTGTGCCTGGATTACCATACTGACCGTTGGATAACCCATATTCCTCCCCTCCCCAGTAACAAGCTGCCGGCTGAGAGAGCTCAGCGGCTCCACAGATTCTCTGCTGCATTAAAATCTCACCCCTCTCTGGTTTTTCCAAGGGGGAAAAATAAATGGGAGAACCAATTCAGGATTTGGAGAGCAAAGGGAAGGAAAATGAGGGTCATTCCCTCCCCTCCTCTTCGAACTGCAGGGTTTGTGTGTGTGAGTGTTGTTGTTGTTTTAGGGATTAAAAGTTGCAACATGTTTGCTTCCTTTCACTCATATAAATTGACTTTTAGATGGTATGCAATCAGGCAATTCATTTCACTTTGATTTTTTTTTCCTCAAGGCAATGTGAAAACCCCAAACTAAATCAAGGCTCATATCCCTTTGTGTGTGTGTGTGTGTGTGTGTGTGTTTGTCCCTTTCTAATGCCAATAGCCAGGGCTAATGTATGCAAAAGAATATGCAAATACTTAATTGATTTTTAAAAAAATCTCTTGTCAGTAAAAGTAATGAATTGGTCTAAAATGATTTTAATAACCCGGATGTGTCACCAGAAAATACTCAACCTTTTTTTCTCCTGGAATCGCATATAGTCTCAAAAAAAAAAAAAAAAAAAGCAATCTTGGAATGTTAATTTGCCCCCCTTTAAAATATTAAAGATGAATTTCTGTTGTTTGTTCGGAGACCATAGGCAAGGTTCTCTCATGGATTTCTCCCGCCTTGCCTTGCCTTCCTTGGAATTCAATTTTCCTCAAATCTCGTTTAAAGTGGCTTTTTAAAAAGTGGCCGCATTTTAATATTGGTTAGACAGAGTGACCTGCATTTCACCTCGGGTGTTTGACTTGTTCCAATAGGTCACTGCCATGGGGTTATTGATGGGGAAACTCCATTGAAATTTGTCTCTTCGCAAATGGCCTTTAGATCTTCCAGCGAGTTCAATAACTAGTTATAATGTGGAAGGGGAAAAATGAAGGCCCTGGGCTAACGAATTTGATGTTTCATTTTTATGCTGGAGAAATTGTTAGTTAGAGGATGGGTTGCCCACCATCTTCCTCCCTCATCCCAGCCTCATTGGCCCCCATCCCACTTCAGACTGCTGGATTATATCCCCTTTAAAACTTGGTTTTGGGTGTCCCTTGCTCTCTTTAATGCAAGCTTTAATTCTTATTACAAAAATTGTTGTTGTTGAGAATTCTGATGTGTGGATGCAGCAACCTTGCTCTGCTGCAGGTTTGTAACCTGAACTTTCTTGCTGTGGAGAAGGACTTTTATTTTTAAAGGAATCTAAATGTGGCTTGAAAAGATCTAGAAATCAGGCTGGCCTTAGGTTAGTTTATGGAGGGCTCCCTGGCCTGGTACTCCCAGTATTAAAGAGATGACAGGAAGCTGGAAACACTTTTAGTTGATGAGGGTATCTCAAAGTCCCCTAATCTGTTCTTGGCCTCTGAACTGCCAGAGACCCATGAGGTTAGGCACCCAGGACCAAAGAAGGCAGAGACTGGGAAAGGCTAGGGATAGAGAGAGAATTCTACAGTAGGCAAGGGAATCCTGGGTCCTCTCCAGGGTCGGCGTCAGAATGCACGGGGACTTAGGCCAGTCACCTCTGTTGCTTCACAAGAAGGGTACTCCAGAAAAGCTCATTTCCCAAAGACAGTGCATTTTAGTAAACTGGAGACAGCGGAGGAAAATGAAGCGGGGTGATGTAGGTTTAATAATGTTTCCCTTTTTTCTGGAGTTTTTAAGGGAGGGAGAGGAAAAGACAGAGGAAAGGATTGGAGTCTTTATTTTATTTTTCCCAACCACAGTCAAGTTGGGGAACCCTTGACTCCTCCAGAGAAGCCTCTGTGAGAAAGAACTTTGGAGAGCATGGTCTCCTGGGCTGACCCAGCCATACCAGATCTTTTAAGATGATTAACCTCAATAATAAGAACATCTTCCCCTCACAAAACACAGCTCCCGGGGTGCCTTTTTTCTCTTCCAGGAACTGTTCTTTCTCCTTTCCTGCCCAAAGGAGTCCGGCTTGAGTCCAGCCCCAAGCTCCCCCTTTAATAAGCCCATCCAACTCGGGCACCCCTCCAAGCCTCGGCCCTTAGATCGGAGTCTTTCCAGGCATGCCTTGAATCCTGGGTTGGGGGAATCAAGGCCGAGAAATATTTCTAAAGGCCTGAAACTGGGGTGCCACCTCCCTCCATCCCCTCAAACCCAGAGGCAGCATTTGATGCCATTTGGGTTCGAAAACTTGCCTTGGCAAAATCGTGGCACCACTGGGATCTGGGGAGCGGCCTTCAACTGCAACTGCGCGTCTCAACACCACAAAATTGGGAAAGTCGGAGAAGGGGTCAACGGCGGCTTCTGGGTCTGGCCTGGGAGAGGGCACCAGAGTCCGCTCTTCCCAGCCAAGCGGGAATCAATAGCGATCTGTTATAAACTTCCCCGCAGTCCCTCCGCGCGCTCTGGTCCTGGCGGGCGAGCCACGTCCCGAAGCTGCTCGCCAGCCTCGGCCCGCACCTTGGCCGCCTCCTCCGAACCCGGGACCCCCAGCCTCGGGCCTCGGCCCCTCCCTGTTTTAATTACGTGATTGATTTCCGCTTTGGCCGCCTCGGGACGCCTCTGCCTCCGACTGTTTAAATCTTTCGGCTCCCTTTTTGTATTTCCGAGTCCTCCAGGAGGGCTGTAATTTAGAGGCGGTCGGTTGAGCGGCCGGCGCGCACCGCGCTGCCTGGGTCCGGGACGAGCTGCGGCCTTGCCCTACACTCCAACGAAATGGTCCTGCCGCGGTGCTCGGGCGACCGGCTCTGCAGCAACCTCGCGGCGCGGGACTCTCAAACTGTGGTCCTGCCCATTCGCTTTCTGAATTATTTTGTGCTCCATTTTTCTCTGATAGGAAAACGTTCCCTGTGTGGGTTATCCCTTCAGGCCTGGCCTCGGAGCTGGGCTCTCTGCGCTCCTGCGCTTTTCTCCTCCCCCGAATGAGGTGTGTGTTGGAAGGTCTGATTGAGTCCCGAGGAAGCGCGACGCATGGCTCCAGGCTTGCGGGGTGCTCCAGCCCCTTCGCCCCAAACACCTGGACCCTGCGCTGGCGGGCAAGAAGCACCACACGAGACGCGAATTCGGCCACAACTTTACTCTAGTCAGCGCGAGAGGGACCCCAGGGCTGGCGGTCCCCACTGCGGCCCCTACCCCGCAGCAGGCGGTGGATCTGACTTTCGCTCCACAGCCCAGAGGCCCCCTAGTCCTGGCAGCCCCAGCGGGCATCCGGCAGCAGCCTGAGGTGGCTGCGCGCACCTCTGCCCGGGAACACTTTGTTCAGCCCCCTCCACCCGAGGGATTGAAGGTGAGGCGAAGGAAGGGAAAGGGGAGAAATTGATGAAAGAGTAGATTAGGGTGGGGAGAGAAAGGGAAAGACAAGAAATGAAGAAAAGAAGCCCCTTCTACCAGCGTGGCTGACTTCTTTCCCTTTCTCTTTTTCCTCCCCAAACTGCTAGTTTTCCGCTTAATCTCTCATTTATTTACAACAAATAAACATTGCTCTGCTTATTCTCCCACGTTGTGTTCATTCTTTGATATTTTCTAACGAGGCAGCACTAAGTTACTATTAGCAGTATTTTATGATTACACACACACACACACACACAGACACACACACACACGTTTTCCCTCAAGGAGAGGAGATTGGGAATGTCTGACTGGGAAGAAGTTCAGTGAAACTTGAGTTGGTCACAACCTTCACCCTGTCCCCTGACCTAGACGCCCCTATACTTGCCCCCCAGGCCCCCTCTCCCATAACAATGTTTTGGGGTAAATAAGAGTCCGCCTGACTGGCTATTAGGATTCTGGAGACGTTGGCATCTGTAGCAATCATTAGTCAAAGCCGCGGAAGCCAAAGGAGCCGAGGAGTTGGACAGAAAAAATCTTGGAAATGATATACAGGAGCCGCTGAGGCATCAATCCCAGCCGATAAGAGCGGGGCTGCCGGGAGCAAGGCGGCCACTTAATTGGGCCCTGGGCACCAAGAACAACTGGAATGGAGTAACCTATGGGTTGGGCAGTAACCCTGGCATCATTTGGGCACTCTACAAAAATAGTTGGGGACTTGAACCCCTTTCCCGCCAACATTTCAAAGACCCAGTTGGGGGTGTAGGGAGACTTATAAGCCCCTGTCAGCCTCTCACGCTGGGAAGCCAAGAGAAGCTGGGCTTCTCTCTCTCCCTTCTTTTTAATGGCTACCTTGAGAGGCAGGAAGCCTGGCTTGGATCTCAGGTCACAGAGGCAGCCTGGAGGCAGGCTGTGACCCCTAGAGTAGGTTTTCAGGGGACAGATAACTCAGTGGGACTAGCTTTGGAGATGGCCTTGGAAATCGAGACAGAATTACTTGCTTTAATAAGCCAAATATCCAAAATATATTTGTTCCCTACTCCCACTCACTTGATATCTTAGGGAGACAGAGAGATGCAGTAACTTTAAGTCCTCCTAGAAGGGAGATCTATGCCCCTATACACAGATACATGCATTATGGAGTCATCTCTAAACATACGTTCAAACACTAAAGTTTTTCAGCAAAAATACAAAGACTAAAAATCTCTAAATATGTAGCTTCAATATGTAGCTATTTTATGGTTTAGGACCCTTGCATAAATCTAGATAAAATTTTCAAAACAAACATTGAACACACACATAGTTCTTTCCAACTAAGAAGAAAAATTCCCAAATATTCAACTAGGTGTTTTGAGAGAGCTGTACCAATACATCCTAACCACTATAGAAAGATTGGTGAAGTCCACACAGGAATTCGACCAAGGACTGTTATGTTCACTATAGATCTATAAATCTAAAGACCTATAAATCTGCATTTAAATGTGGAGCAGAAAGGAGTATAAAATATACATTCTGATATAGACAGAGAACCATCAATAAATACATTTTCACATATATAACTATAGGAGTGCTCAGCTCTCTGTGAAGATTATTTGCATGGAGTCCTAGGAATGAAGAGGAATCTCTAGCGCTTGTGGGTTTGGGATATCCCAGCCCAGGCTTCTCCGAAAAAGAAATGAGGGTGGACCGGAGCCTTTGCAAGTACTAAGAGGGCCCAGGAACTCATAAAATCTATGACATATTTCTAGCATATAGGGGCATTTTACTGACAATGAATATAAGCCCTGTTGCCTGGGCCTGAAAGCCTCCTGACCTGATCTGGCCTGAACTATTTCTGAGTTAGAGAGCTCTTAACTTCTTTTTCCTTCAGCTCCGAGGCTCAAGGGAGGGACTTGCCCGGGATGGGTGGGGGATCCTTAGGAGGGAAAGACTCATTATCATTAGGAAATGAAGCTATTTAGGTAAAATATTTCGTTTGGTAGGCAGAAATGTGAGAAGGCTGAGAGTTCACACGCACACACACCCTTGTACCCATCTTAATTACAAAAGCCCAGTCAAGACTGCAGTGTTTTCTCTATTCATGCTGTACTCGATGGGGGTCCCCCATACCTCTCTTCTTCTTCCTAGCTCCCTTGAACTCTTTCTCTTAAACATCTGAAGTTCTACCTTGTCAAGGGGGTTTTGGGGCTTGGGGAAAGAGTGACAGGGAGA